ATTGCCAGGAAGAAAGAAGAAGAACAGAAGAAATTTAAATGCCAGAAGATTAAAGCCATCATTCCATTTTGTCAAATACATGGTCAACAAAATATAGCTGTAAATTTTGCAAAAATATTGCCTTGATTAGACCTAATGGGAAGCATTCACTGAAAAGGAGGTTGATTTGTATTATTATTATTATTATTATTATTATTATTATTATTATTATTATTATTATTATTATTATTATTATTATTATTATTATTATTTTAAAAAAGTAAAGACAAAACAGAAAGTTTTCCTTGACTCAGATAAATGCTGAGAATTCAGTGGCACAAGGTGGATTTTGAGGTATCTTTCAAAGCGTGGAACTTCTGAATCCTATTTCTTCCTACAGTCCTTGTTCAGGTGTGATACTGCCAAAGAAACAGATCTGGGGCCAGCCGGTTGGTTGAAATACCAGTTCAGCAAACCAGATTAATGTTAGAATCTGATTCTCCAAAACCAGTCCAAACCAGTAGAATCCCACTCCTGGAATCTTGTATTTATAGCAATTGCACTTAGACTTATATACCACTTTCGTCACCCCAGTCTAAAAAGATGTTGAGATTCTGGAAAGGATGCAAAAAACAGCAGCAAAAGTGATTGGGGGACTGAAGGCAAAAACATGTGAAGAATGGTTGCAGGAATTGGGTATGTCAACTCTAGTGAAAAGAAGTAGGGGGTGACCTTATAGGAATGTTCAAAAATTTTGAGGGGCCAACATAAAGAAAAAGGGCAAACCTTTTTTCCAAAGTACCAGAAGGCAGAACTAGAAGCAATGGTTAGAAACTGAACAAAAAGAGAAGCAACCTAGAACTAAGGAGAAACTTCCTGAGAGTAAGAACAATCAACCAATGGAACAATCAACCAATGGAGCAGCGACATCTTGCATTCAAAAGAGGTGGGTGCTCCAATACTCACAGGCTTTTAAAAAGGGACTGGCCAACCATTAGCCTAAAATGGTATAGGGTTTCCTGTCTGGACTGAAGATATCCAAGGTTCCTCCTAACTCTGTTATTTTGCTATTCTGAAATCAATTGGAGGGATAACATATCCCAGAAACTATGAAAGTGCTATTCCAAGATTGCATGGTAACCTATGGCCAACTGGAAGAATTCTTCTGTTCTGCTTCTGGGCATTACCTTTTTTAAATTAAATAAATATATACATACATAAATAAACACATAAATAAATAAACAAATTCATTATGCATCATTAAATGAGTTTCAAATGTTTTTATCCACACCAGCACATTTATGTTCCCCACCATTTTTTTCACTGGAAAATAGAAATAATTGACAAGTTCATTATTTGCATCGATTCAGATCTAGAAACCTGGCAGATTCTGCTTGCCTTAAAAGTTGTTGCTTTTTAAAAAAATCAAAAGAGCCAGTGGTGAAGGCACTAGGCTAGAAACCAGGAGACTGTGAATTCTAGACCCTGTTGGGTGACTTTGGACCAAACACTTTTGGCCCAATTCATTTCAAAGACTTGTTTTTTTCCTGGAAAAAACATGTAAAGAAAGGAGTGTTAAGTATCTTTGAATCTTTGATTTATACATAAAATTAATACAAGAAGGATAAAAAATAGTCTGGAGAAAACACTGAGCTTGACTCTTTTCTTGCAGATGTTTCATTGCCCAAAGTAGTATTGGTGATGCTACCAAATTTTGATAATAAAATGTCTGCAAGAAAACATCCAAACTCAGAGGGCAGCAAGCTTCCCATCAACATTAGCATCACTACACAGGTGCAGCGCATAATGTATGGTCATCAGTTTTCTTGTTTTCCTATCCAGGCTGTCCAGCTCTGCCTGTGTCCAGTTTACAATCCCAGCAGTATACCTATGGCCCAGATATTTATAGCCTTGATGGTGTTACTGCCATTCAGTTTGCTTTTTAGAAGTTTTCTGATCCTTTGTGTGGATCATTTCTTTGCTGACCACATTTTTCACTAGCCCATGCTTGATACAGCTGCAGTATCCAGGTATTTGTAAGCTTCAGGTTGGTGGCACTTGATGGTTTGTCCATTGGGCATTTCAATTCCATCACTTTCTATGATCTTCCTTTTCTTCAGTGCCACTATGGTGCATTTGTCCAGGCCAACTCCATGCTGATGTCAGTGCTGAAAATTTGAACTGTATTGGTCAGTGACTGGATTTCAATTTCTGATTTTCCGTATAATTTCAGATCATCCATGTACAGCAGGTGAGAGGTTTTCTGTGATTTTTTAACAGTTTGATAACCCAGGTTAGTTTTCTGTAAAATTGTTGACAGGGGGGTCATGGCAATGATGAACAGCAGAGGTGACAAAGAATCACCCTGGAAAATCCCTCTTTTGATGTTGACCAGTCCGTAGCTTTCACTTCCAATAAACAGTTCTGTTTTCCAATGCTTCATCGCATTTGCAGTGAAAGTACCAATGCACTTACATATTCCAATGACATCCAGGCACTTGATGATCCAGCTGTGTGGTAGTGAATCAAATGCTTTCTTGGAGTCAATCCAAGTTGTATGCAGATTTGTTTTTCAGCTTTTGCAATTCTCTAAAATCATTTCATCGATCAGGAGCTGATCTTTTGTGCCTCTACTTCCTTGTTTGTTTCCTTTCCTTTCTCCAGTAGGCAAGATGTTATTTGCTTCTATGTAGTGCTGGGTCCTGTCAGCTATGATGCTGGTCAGCAGCTTGAACATGGTTGGCAGACACATTATTGGCCTGTAATTTTCAGGTGTTGCTCCTTTTGCTGGATCCTTCTGTATCAAATAGGTTTTCTCAGCTGTTAACTGATGTTTCCTGTCTGCAGCATCTCACTGAATTGTTAAGCCATTTTTCCATGCAGGCTAGTCAGGTATTTGAGCCAAAAGGCATGCAGTTGATCATTGCCAGGTGATGTCCAGTTCTTGACTTTTTTCACTCTGATGCTTTTCATTTCAGTAGTTACTTCCAGTTGGTCCATTTTGTTCTTGGAGAATTTCATCTCAAAGTCTCTGATCAACCCAGCATTTTTGTTGTAACATTTCTCAATCTTCACAGGTCTTTTCAAAACTGAGTAGCTGCCGTTTTCTCAGGTTTTTCAATTTTTGTATCCTCCATCTGATTCAGACTCTGATAGAACCATCTTTGGTCTGATTGGAACAATTGATTTTGTTTGTACTGGATGATTCTAGCTTTGTATCTTTCAATTTTTCTTGCTGTTGCTGTTATCTGCTGCTTCACAATTTCCAAAACTTCATCATTTTTTCTTGTGCTGAGCCCATATTTTTTATCAGATGTTTCTTGATCTTTCTGTTCTTCAGCTTTTTCACCTGCAAATTCTTCAAGTTGCTTTCATCTGCTTGCAGGCGCTTGATTTTCAACTCCAACCTGATTTTCCACTGCAGTTTTCCAGTTGATTTTCTAGGAGGCTACAGCTGTTGAATACCCAGTTTCAGGGTAGGCAAGCTGGTTTGTTTGTTCAATTGATGTTATCTAGACTGCTGCAAGTGCATAGTTTGCATCTATCATCAATGGTGCCAAATGTTTTCTAGGCACAGTCTTCAATGTTGGAAGCTTTCTTCTTTCTGCATTTGTTGCAGCATGTGCCAAGATTTTAGCTTTCAGTTCTTGCTGCCTGGCATTGAGTACTTCTGGTATTTCAATGATGTCTTCAGGCTCTTGCTGATCCTGTTCTTGCAAAATATCTGCATTTTCTTCAAATTCAGGCTGTTCAGTTGCTCCAGATGTTATTGGAGTATTTTCTGCTGCCACAGCAGTCTGTTGTTCAGCAGTCTGTGTTCCCATTTCAGAATTTTTCCATATTTCTTCAAGTTCGACTTCACTGAGCACTTTGTTCCAAATGATGAATCATCGCTGATCGGCTAATCGTAATTCAGTTAATCCTTGAGTCTGGGTATTCTTGTTTCCATAGTTTATACATCCTTTTTTGGTAGCCAGTTGGTCCATTTTGTTGTTGTTGTTGTTGTTGTTGTTGTTGTTGTTGTTGTTGTTGTTGTTATTATTATTATTATTATTATTATTATTATTATTACTACTACTATTATTGTTGTTGTTGTTGTTGTTGTTGTTTCTTTTATTCATTAAACATGAAACTCAATCAATTGAACATGTATCACAAATATAATTGACTGGTGCTAATGGTTGATATGGATTGCTGCCAGCATCTAGGGATCAACCAATTGTTTTCTGAAGATGTGTGATGTTCTGAGTACCACAATTTCTTTTGCAGTTCTGCTGGTGTTATTGATGTATTCAATACAATTTCTTGATGTATTTATAAAATTCTAGGACATGGTACCAAGTGCCCTGATGACAATGGGTATCACTCTTATGTGTTTCATTCATAATTGCGTAGTTTTGATGACCAGGTCATGATATTTCATGATTTTTCCAGTTATTTTTTATTATTGTTATTGTTATTAAAATAATAATCTGATTTTCAAAATTATTTTTATTTCAGAAAGAAAGTAGAACACATTCTCAAATTGTCAATTAACAATTAGGTGGATTTTTTTTTAGATCAGTTATGTGGAAAATATTTAATAGATAATTAACTCTTCTTAGAATTGATCAAAATTACTGTAATGTATTTATCTGCTTAAAGCTCCAGAGATTTTCCAGAAAGCAGCAAAAACTATAAAGCATGGAAGAAAGAGGTTATAAACTAATCCCAGTTCCATGGAGAGCATGGGGTGGTGGGAAGAGTCTAAAAGGGCTATTGGGTTCATTTCCTCTAGCAACTGGTGGGTTTTTTTTTCTTCCCTTTGATCAGACCAATTTCAGATTTGAACTGTAGAAATCTCAATCATTATTCAAGCATGTGTCTCTATTTCCATCGAAGTTAAAGGTTAGATTGATTATTTTCTCAGAGGAGGTGTGTTTGGAAAGTCCAGAATGCTAAGTCAGATCCATTGGTGTGGGTTGATATGTTGGAGACCTCTTTGGGAAGACGTTTTGGCTGCTGATGTGTTATTCCTTCTGATGTTTCCAGTGATTGAAGTGAACACTCTCAAGTGTCCAGAGGTTGATCCTATTCCTATTCCACATGAATGGTACCAACCAGGTGATCTCCTGATTGGAGGGATAGCTTCACAAAATCTCTATGCCTTCAGTGAACATAAATTTGATGAACATCCATCTCAGGACCTCTATGGACTTTCAGAGTAAGCAAATCCCCCACCTTTCTTCACCTAAATGTTCCTTCTTTCTTCTCAACTTTTAAAGATGATGACACCTATTCTTGTGAGTAAGGAGGTGCTTAAATAAGGAAGATTAAAATTTTATCATCTGGACTTTTGTTCCCCCATCAGGATATTTTAACAGAATAGCAGAGTTGGAAGGGACTTTGGGTGCCTTCTAGTCCAACCCTCTGCTCAAGTAGAAAACCTATACCATTTCAGACAAATGGTTGTCCAATCTCTTCTTAAAAACTTCTGGGGTTGTAAGTTTATTGCATTTTTAAGATGCATTAATAATTAATGACTAGTTAATTACATTCCCTAAGACATGGAGACTTAATGAAATGAAGAAATCTTTAAAAGATAAATTTCAAATTTACCTAGGATGCTCTTCATAACTGAAAAGATTATAAATGAGGAAATTTAGAAACTAAAGCTGTGTAAAATACAGAACAATAATTTTTTATCTGAAAACAGAAATGCCTATCTCAAATTATAACACAATATTTGAAGTGATGAAAAAGGCAGAAATTGATATCCACCTGAAATAGAAATAGTTAATAGTACTTAATCAATTCATCCTTCCCCTAAGGTGCAATTAAAATCATAATAAACATACTTGACATAAATAATAAATCAACATTAGCTAAAAGGAAAGATAAGTACTTTGAAGTATAAAATGTTAATTTTTTATTTGCAGCATGGGCAGAAAATAGTATTTTTCATTTTTTGTAGGAGAAGAATATAATATCTGTCTGAAATAGATAAATTTCAAACATATTTTGAGTGTTCAGTGAGAACTGTAAAGCTGTGAGCTGGAGAAAATTAGACAGAAAATGAGTTTAAAGAAAAATATTTGAACTTTGAAATGCCCCTCCCTCATGTACTTTTAAAGTTCTCTTTTTAAAAAAAAGGTTGAAGTTGAAAAGTAAAATAAGAAGAATAAGTTTAGACTTTACCTAGAGAGATATAGTTTAGATTCTTGCCACTGTTAAAAACCTGAGAGTATATTATTAACATATATTACTCTGAGTGAGTAACTTTCTGTGAATAAAATGTGCAGTAAAATTCTGTATGGGCTGGGACTAAAAGTATTAAATAAATTAATAACATAGGCTATATTAAAAAAAGGTCCAATCCCAATCCCAAGCAGAAATCACTATTCTTTCAGTATTATTCTACACATTATGGAAATGTTTCATGGAAGAGTTTTTTTATTTGCAGTCTGATCACAAAATTTTACCAGCATGTTCTTTCTTTGGCCTTTGCTGTCAAGGAGATCAATGAGAACATACACATCTTGGCCAATGTTACCCTTGGATTCCACATCTACGACAGCTACAACAACCCAAAGATGACCTATCGGACCACCCTGGACTTACTTTTCAAATCAGATAGATTTCTCCCCAATTATAAATGTTGACTTCAGAAAAATCTCCTGGCCATTATTGAGGACTTGGATCAGATACTTCATCCCATATGGCAGAAATTGTAAATTTGTACAAAATTCCACAGGTGGGTCCAGAAGTGAGGGATTTATCCTCTGAATTGATTGAAAGAATTAATCAATTGATTAAGCATGCTCAAGAGCATCCTTAAGTCTTAATTGAATCTCATCTAAGACTTAAGAAATGACTCAAAATCAAGGTTTGATTCCTTAGTGAATACTGATGATACTTTATATATATTGAAAAAAAAATGCCCAGGAATTTAACCATATTCTCAAAATTTGAGAAATCATGGATCAGGTGTTAATTCTAAACTGTCTAACCATTTCTCGTAGTGATCTATAAAATGCATAAGCAAATAAAAAAGCTCTCCTTGACTTCTTTGTGCCATATCTTGATGTTTTGTTTTAGCTCACATATGGATCATTTCCTATGGAAGAAATCATCTTCACTTTACTTTATAGCCCCAAGCAAGACACCACAATATTTCGGGATTGTTCAATTGCTTCAAAGTTTTGGGTGGAAATGGATTGGTCTCTTTGCTACTGACAATGACAGTGGAGAACATTTTTCACAGAAATTGGAGCCCTTACTTTCTGAGTGGGGAATCTGCTTAGCTTTTACACAAAGATTTCCCAAACTATTGCGTTTGGATGACTTGGGCAAATTTAATGAAGTAATGGTTAATTTTTGTACACATTTTGCAGACATTAAAGCAAATACATTTATCATCTATGGAGAATCTTTAATATTAGCATGGTTCACAGCTTTCATATTTCTCTGGGATCCTGCATATAAGAACAATATATCTTTAAGCAAGGTGTGGATTACTACGAGCTAAATTGATTTCATGCTAACAGGAGTCCAAAAGAATTGGAATCTCCAGATTTTTGATGGGGCCATTTCCTTTCAAATCCATTCAAGTGAAAATCTGGAATTTGAGGAATTTCTTCAGTCCATAAAACCATATTCAAGGCACAGAGATGTATTTTGAAAGCATTTTGGGGAGCAAGTGTTTGACTGTTCCTTTCCTAATTCTGAATTGTCTTCAATGGAATTGTCTTCTGGTTGTAGGCATGGCCAGTTGGTCATGTGACTGGGTGGGTAACATCACTTATCACACCCTGCCCGACCTCCTGGCCACTCACCCCAAAGGCAGAGGTAGGATTTAACTAGTTGGGGCTAATCCCACCACTGGCTCCACCCCCATCCCTGCCTGTTTTTTTTTTTTTTTTGCCATTATTTGGGTCACTCTCAGGCCATTATTTTGAGTCATTTTCAGGCCATTTTTATTTTATTTATTTTTTTATTTTATTTTATTTTATTTTATTTTATTTTATTTTATTTTTGTATTTTATTTTATTTTATTTTATTTTTGTATTTTATTTTATTTTATTTATTTTTGTCAATTGCTTACAAAATAATAAGAAAAAACATAGTTATGAATACATGGATACATATAAGAAAAATAAAAATAATAAAAGAAACAATAGGACAGGGATGGTAGTCACATATGTTTGCTTATGCATGCCCCCTAGAGACCTCTTAGGAAAGGGGTGAGGTCAATAGTAGACAGTCTAAGGTTAAAGTTTTTGGGGTTTGGGGAAGAAACCACAAAGTTAGGTAGAGTATTCCAGACATTGACCACTCTGTTGCTGAAGTTGTATTTCCTGCAATCAAGTTTGGTGCGATTAACCTTGAGTTTGTATCTATTGTTTGCTCTTGTGTTGTTATGGTTGAAGCTGAAGTATTCATTGACTGGTATGACATTGTAATGTATGATTTTATATATTATACTTAGATCATACTGAAGGTGGTGTAGTTCTAGATTTTCTAGGTCTAGAATTTCAAGTCTGGTGGCATAAGGTATTCTACAATGAGTGGAGGAGTGGAGAGCTCTTCTAGTGAAATATTTCTGGACCTTCTTAACTGTGTTAATGTCAGATATATAATGTGGGTTCCAGATTGATGTGGCTTGATTTTGGAGCTAATTTATGCCAATCTATAGTAAATCTTATCAAAATATACCCAAGGCAACCCTTAACAACCTAAATTATCCCTTCTTTGCAATTTCTATTTTTTTAAATTGACATGTCTTTTTTTTCCTGAGGGCAAATAAGAGGCAGTAACTCTAGATCTATCTATTTGCTCTATTGAGCAAAACTGAAAACATCAAGTGTTTCACAATATATATTCTTTGTTCTGTATTGGCATTTTGTCCAATCAAACTGCATAAAGTATTACAGCAACATCCAATGTCACATATGTTGATTTCTCTCATTATAGTTATTTTAACTTCCTTGCTTTCTCCTTCTTTTTCAAGTAGCTTCATCCATTTCTTAAAGGTATTTCTTTCAACAACCCAGCAGGAGAAACAGTGTCTTTTAGTGAGAAGAATGAAGTTGCAGGAATATTTGACATCATCAATATAATTGTGTTTCCAAACAAGTCCATCTGGAAGGTGAAAGTTGGAAGCCTAGATCCTGCTGCATCTTACTTGATCATTAATGGAAAATTAATTGAGTGGAACAAAGGCTTTAATCAGGTATGAAACTGCGTAAATGGAAAATACTTACATGGTTTCACCTTCCTTCAAATTTTCAGTTAAAATGTCTCCAACTGAGGGCCATGACTTGCATTATGAGATGACTAGTTGCCTCTTTTTCATGAAAAAGAAAAACAAACACAGAAAAATCTGGCAATTATCTGTGCAACCTTTTTCATGTTATGAACAGGTTGTTCCAGTTTCTCTGTGCAATGAATACTGTCTGCCTGGATATTGAAAGAGAAAGTCTAAAGGGAAGATCTTTTACTACTACAATTGTGTTCCATGTCAACAGGGGAAAATTTTGAGCAAGTTAGGTCAGTTATGAACTTCTGTAAACATAGGAGAACATCAGGTAGCAAAGGAATTGTTTCATCAAATGTTACAACTTGTTCTGTTGCATATATTTATTTTTAAAATTGAAGCTTTCTATCCTAAAAAAAAAACCCAAGGAACATGATTAACCTATATAAATCTCAATTATTACTAATTTCAACTATTAATAATTTCCCAAATTCTGACATAATAAAGTGTACAGAAGCCTTTAAAATACATCTCTTCTGTAATGGCATTTTTTCCCCAGATGTAGGATTACAAACTGGAATACAAACATGATTATTTTTTTTAGGGGGCTGTAAATCTCATCTGCAGACTAGATATAGGTATACATATACATACATTTTATATGGTGGACATCCAAAGTGTTGCATGACAATACAACATAAATCAAAGAGGAAAAAATAGAAAATTATCTAATTAATTCTTGTAAAATTGAATGGAAAAAAATCCATATTCAACATGATATACAGTAACTATTATATTGAGGATGCTTTTAATCAATATATATTTTATGAAACTCTTCAATTTTTCATGAAAAGATATTCTTCTGTCACAGATATTTACAACTGAGAGCGATTCTGTGGCATAGGAAGCACTAACTCATGTTAGTCTAATTTAGTAAGATTCTTAAAATGTGAAAAATATCATAACAG